GTATTTCCAAGATCCACTGCTTTAAGTTATTACCCTAAAATTTCTAACCCCACCCTTACCAAGCATGTCATCTACTTTGCCTTTTTTACTTTTCTGCTGTGCCCTCTGACAGGAGTACTAATGGTCAGTGAAAGTGCCAAACACGGTGGAGGATGAAAGCAGCATGGGCTTAAAGTGCTCAATAGGGTCTGTCTCTAGATCCACTGTTTCAAGTCTTCGGAAGGAAATTGGTAATAACTTCATATTTTATTGACTTTATCCTATTACAAGAGTAATGAGTTTTTGGTGAAAAGAATGTAATTTAAAAACCTATGGTTAGAGATAGCCACTACAGCATCTTGGTGTATATTCTTCCAGGGTTTGTTTGTTTGTTTTGCATTGATTTATAAAAGTGAGATGATTCAATTCAGCCTTTTGAAACTGACCATTTCCATGTCCAATATTATACTTGTAAAATGCATGTATAGTATGCTTTTCATCAGTTCAAAGATCCATTCCAATTTCAGGCATGTTAAAATGGTGGGGGCAGGGGGAACATCCATCATGGAAATTGATGGCATATTAGAGATTAGCACTTTTTCCTACTCAGAGCATAAAGTAATGGTGTGTCCTAAAACTAGTGGAATCTTAGATTCCATAAAACTGTTATATAGATTATGGTTTAACCAGGTACCTACTGAAGGGCATTTAGGCCCCCCTCTCCATTTTAATGTATGGTGTGATCAGTCCTTTATCCTATTTGATGTTTATACTGTTCTTTAGTCTGCATTGCTAGATGTGGAGTTGGTTTACTCAAATTTTATTGAATATTATTGTCCAACTGCTTCCAGAAAGCCAACTAACATTCCTGGTTGTGCACACCAGTTTATTCTAATTTGATACGTGAAAAATGGCATTATCTTTCATTCCTTTGATTATAGGTGATTGTTTTATGCTTACCAGGCAGTTACATGTGTTGTGAGTTGGCTCTACTCAGTCCATTTTACTTTAAAGTGTTGGCTTTTTTCATATTGATCTGTAAGAGCACCTAATTTAGTTATTTGGGGGCATATATAACTATTTTTATCTAACTTGGTGTGGTGTTTTGCAAAGTTTTAGTTTATTGGAGCTTTAGTATAGGCTGCGATGTAAAGATCTGACTTCTTTCCACTGACAGGCAATTGATTGAATTGCTTATCTTTTATTAGTGGAAAGGAAGAAACCTTTCTGATCTCTTAATTCTAGACAAGTGATTTACTTGAGAGTTCACCTATCAGCCTTTCATAGGGTGGATACTATGAATGTCCAGGAGTCCTGCAGGTTAGGAAGAGAAAAACTGGGCTCCTTTGGAGGACTTGAGCTGAGATATTGGAACAGATCACAACTGTATCATGAAGGAAAAAGACAGCCTAATGGAGAAAAACCAAGAATCGAACATAGGGGATTGACAAGAATAGAATGTGCCTAGCTGGCATGTTTTTCACTGGCCTCAGGGCATTGGTGAGTTGCAGCTGTGGGCTATTAATGGAAGCTGAGAAATTAGGACAGAAGGGAAAAGTCAGTAAAGGGAAAGAACTAGATAACACTAGTTTGACTTTCTTATTGCCTAAAAGGAAGACAGAGACCCAGGAAGTAGAATCTCTAGCTTCTGGGAAAGAGGGCCCTTTCAAGGGGCAATGTAAGACAAGAATCTCTGCACAAGAATTAGTGGTGGAGATTCCCATGAATCCATTAAGAGTAAACTTGGACTCAATTTGTAGTATTTAGGTCTCAGAATTAAGGAGTTTGATGTGTTTCAGTAGAGCAGAGATTTCCGTGTTGGCTTTGGGATGTATGGAAGGCGTGAGGATTAAAATCATAGCTAATTTTCCTGTGTAATGAAAGTTGGGTGTATGAATATTTATGAGTTCCACCTAGTCCTGGTTAAAGGAGGCAGCCCAATTTGGTATTTTGACTGCATCTGCAGGATGAGGGGATTGTAATCAAAAACTACTTGGCAAGGGCAGAACAGGGTTACCCATCCTCTGTCATTCATGGAAAGAGGATATTTTATCTGGCAGAGTGAGCAGCCAAAGGCATGCTCAAATAGGTCTTTAAAATAAGAACCACTGCTACATGTATTATATAGCAATGCTGTCAGTGAACAGTAGAGTAGAATGTTGGGAATGAAGAACAAATACAAACTTAAGTGTCCCAACAAAAGGAAGCAGGCACAGCTAGATTGGCTTCTGGAACAGAAGGAACAAGGTGAAAACAGTGGTAGGTGATGGCTCCTTAATTTTACTGATAGCCTACTGTGAACCAGGTATGGTGTGAGGGAAGCAGATCGTTCCTGCCTTCAAGTTATTTACAGTCCAGTAAATTCTTTATTTTTACTTTCTAGGAACACAAATAACTGTAGTATCACTTGGGAAAGGGAAAGGGTCTAGAGGGGTAATAGGGAGACTGGGAGTTGGGTGTTGGGTCCGAGTGGGGAGGGGAAGAATGACTAAGATGGGTATCAGGCCAGCAAAAAAAAAATCGGAGCTAGGTAAAGCAGGTATTGCAACAAGAGAAGTTGGCTCCCATTGTCAAGAGGTGACAGGTTAGCCTGCTTCTGAGGAGGTGGCCTTGTCTGTTACGACCCACTGTAAACAGTCAAACAAGGGGCACCGCATCCTGGGTATAGACAAACGCTGAAGCTGCTAAGATTCAAGAAACCATGTGTGGAGGTGCTGAGCAGCACCTAAATAGAGTAGAATAGGGATGTAAGGAAGGAACTTGCTAAGCTTTTCAAAGAAAGCCTGAAAGAACTGTATTAAATCTGGAATGGCAGGAAGCATAAAGAATTGAACATGAACAAGCAGAGCAAATGTTCATCATTTGAGTTCCTAGAGCTCTGAGGGACATTTGGTAAACCAAAGCGGTCTCAGTGCCAGTGTTTGGTTTGGGATCAGGCTGGGGTGTAGGCCCTGGGCTTGACAGGGATTTAAGAAGGTTTCTTGGACTTTTCATCCTGTTACTTTGGAAAGGGTACTATTAGCATTTTGAAAAGACTTCCCTTACCAGCTTAGCAGAAGGGCTTACAGTGAAGGGATAGAAGCAGTGATGGGGTGGGGAAGGTGACAAGCCAGTGGCCACAGCTTTAAGTGAATACAACATGTATCATGTTTCAAGTTCATGCTGGGAAAAAGAATTACCCCCTAGGCTCAGTTCAGCATCAGTTCTGTCTTCCTGAGGAAGGAAAAGCAGGATGCCTTGGGGAGAAAGGGTTGACATAAGTGAGTGCAACCATTAGACCTTGAGATAGCCCTGATCCTGAAGGCAACAGCTGCTACAGCAGAAAGAAGAGGAAACAAGGTGACAGAAAGCCTTTGGCCCACTCCTTTCCAAAACCTTGGATTTCAGAGAGGGGAAGCTGTTTGCCCAAGGTCATATTGCGGGTTTACAGGAACTTCCCACCAGTAAGTTGTTCTTGATTCACTGAAAGAGAGTGAAGACAAAATAAAACAATAGGAAAACTAGCAAAAAGGTGTATTTGTACAGGCTTTCACAAATAAGAACAGTCATGACCATTTGGGAGCCCTTGTAATACTGATGTTCACCATGATCTTTTACATCCTCCTCTGTAAAACTGGGTTGATCTGTTTTGAAGACTCATTGTAATTCTTACTGGTGGATCCGTAATTTAGACCTGTGTCCTCCTATATGTGACTAATTACAATCAAAATTCACTTCTCAGTCATACTAGACATTCCAAAGTGGTCAGTAGCCAATGTGGTTCATATCAACTGCAGTGAACAGTAAAGAAATGTAGAGAACATTTCTGCCTTAGGCCTATTGGATGCTTCTGATCTAGGTGTATGACTTGGTATGGAGTAGCAGCTTTATAAAGCTTGGATTCTTAGCCCTTGCTAGTAAGAGCCTTGGTTTCCATTCTATCATTTCCCTTTACTGGCCAACCTGGCAAAGAAAGTTGTGGGAACCCAGATTGGAGTCTCTAGGTACACACGGTGTACCATTGAATCTTGGATAACACAAGTTTGAACTGTGTGGGTCTACTTAGGTGGATTTTCTTCAATAAATACGGTACTATAAATCTTTTTCCTTACGATTTTCTTAACATTTTTTTCTCTAGCTTCAAGAATACAGTATATAAAATACATCTACAAGACAAGTGTTTATGTTACCAGTAAGAGTGGTCAAAAAGTGAACAATGGTTAACTTTCTGAGGAGTCACAAGTTATGCAGATTTAAGCCTGTGCCCCTAACCCTCACATTGTTCAAGGGTTAACTGTAGTCCTAAGGCTCTGGAGAAGGCAAGACAGGCATCTGGGTTACAGCCAATTCTCAGTTCCCAAGACAAACCCTGGGCTTTTTGTTTGCCCTCTATTTGGAAACGGACCTGATAGCAGCACCTCAGAGGTGATGACCACTGGAGCAGTGTGGGCTGGGGATGAGAGACACATTGGGGGCTGGGAGCACATGGACTTTCCAAGCTTCACCACTCACAGCATGAGGGAGCTGCACCCCATCTTTAACCGATCCAGAGTCAGCTTCTTATCACAGGAGAAGGTGAGTGGGTGAAGAGAACTTGAGGGGAAAATGGAAAGAGAGATGTGCTGAGGCTTTAGTTCTTCCAGAGGATCAGTTATAGGAGCTTCATGTGAAGGAAGATACTCTATGTTGGAGGGTAAGTATCCCTCATGGGTGGGAAGGTAGTCCACTGGGAGTACTGTCACAGGGCCAGCTAGGTGTCCTGGCTTTGAGTCAGGGCTCCTGCTCCCCAACATCTTGTACAGATCCACTAGTCCTGTCTCTGCTATGAGAGCTTTGGGAGGTGGTAGGCTTGAGGCACTATATCCTGTGTCTTCCTCAGAGGTATAGTGACCTTGGATTTCTTGTCCCTTGTCTGGCCAGTTGGGGTGATGAGGATGTCTGAAGACTGGGGTCACTTGATGCAGGACTTCACTGATGACCAGAGGCTCAGGTTCTTCAGGAGTGGGCCAGTCTGTCAGGAGCCTGTCCAAGGGTAGCTGCATCTTCTCCTGAGAAAGGGGAGGAACGGGCTAATAATACAGCTCTGTTACAGAAGTATCCTTTGACAACTGACTTCAGGGTTCTGAAAGGCCTTGCAGCCTGCATCACCTGATTGGTTCTAGGTGGGACATCATGGGACCTTGACTTTGTGGCAGGAGTGAAATAGTTAACATCGTCAGGGAGCAGACAGGAGCCATGGACTTCTCAACCCCCTGCCAATGAGTGGTTACCTACCAAACTTAACCTTCAACCAGACTATTTCTGAGGAGTCCAACTGCACTAGCTATTTCTTAGGATAGGGAACATGGTGGGTGCAAAGGGAAGGCTGAGCTTGCCTCCGTCTAGGGGAGGAGGCAGGGAGGACTTTAGAAGTCACACTAGAGCTGAATCTTGAGAGAGACTTTCCAGGTAGGAAAGTGATGGGCAAGGAGGACTGGTCTATTCTGGAACATGCTAGTTCTCTCTTTTGACAGGTAAACGGAAGCTTTGGAAATATAAGGTCACATGATGAAGAGAATTTTAAGGGATGCTAGTGAGTTTGAGCTTTGATACAACTGAACGGTTCAGGGTAATAATCTCCTCAGTTCTGCTCTTAAAGACCCTCTGGAGTAACTTTTGGAAAAAATTTTCATCTTTTTTTCCCCTATAGCTAATTTTTTCTACTCTTATCTTGGTCAGCATCACTTCAGTTACCAGTTCTTTAATGTCCAATCTCTTTCCTTTCCAAACTTACTATAGATTCCTGAGTCTTCCAGGTCCAACCACTCTGTTAACATTTCTCTTTCTGGGCTTCATTGGGCTCTACCTACCCCCTCAAAACTCTTTCACACTGCTTGATCTTTTTAAAGCAGAGTTCCAAAGCCTGTAACAGCTCAGACTTACATAGTGAAGCTTCCCAGCCTGTAGTTTGGCAGTCAGGTTCCTGCACCTTCCTCTACCTCCCCATATTTCCATTCAAAAACTTTCAGGCACACCATCCTGGTCTTACTAAGCACATTACTAAGCCACCAACACACTTGGGCTTCCACTGCTAGCCTCCCACCCTCCTGTTTTCTGCACCTTTTTCTGCTTGATGCCTTCCTCTTTCATGAAGGCCTTCTTTGTACATGATGTTTTATACGGTCAATTTTTTTTGTTTTGTTTTGTTTTTTACATGTCCGTAAGCCATCTGTGAATAGAGATCTTTCATGCCTGAAGGGAAGAGTAGGATGACAGGGAAAACCCTGAGGACTACTCCCAACTCTGATATTCAATAGCCTGAGAAATCTCCATCAACCTCTCTGGCTTTTTGTTCCCTCATCTGTCAAATGCCAAGTTGTGCAAGAGTGGTTTTTGGTCTGGACTTGCTTCTGATGTCCCCTTCCTTTCCTTGAGCATGACAAGCATCCAAAAGTGAATGATGGTGAGGTCTCGGGACAGACTTCCACAAAGGACACTGACAAGCTAGAGGGTAAGTGCGTGTGTGGGGTTTTTTGGGGGGTGGGCGTGGGGGGAAGTGTTCTTTTCTGATGGTTACTCAAACTGGCCCTGGCACAACAGTCTGGCTTGGAAGATGGCCTTCAGCTCTGGGAAGCACAGCTGCCATTTTCTTTGCTTTGGCTGCCAAAGCACGGTTACCCCAGATGTGGGAGGGACTATACGGGGTACAGAAATGGCTTATTTTTTTCCATAAGTGGGGCATTTGCTCTGCCTTCTTGAAGGCTTTGGCCATATTGGTAGAGCCTGCTCCTCAGAGTGTGTACAAAGCAGGCTCTCTGGGTAACATGTCCTAGGGCAAGTCCTCAGGTATCTCAAGGGCATTGTTTAGCTTCTACAGGCTCAAAATGGAGAACATCCTAGTGATCGCCTTTATGATTTGGCCTTTCCCTCCAGAGCTTAAAGACCTGTTTTTTAGCCACATCTTAAGAAGTACAGGGATCTAAGGCCTGAGAATTTTGTTGGAGGTGAAAGACTGTTGTGCTTCTGATGTCTGCCTCAGCCTCTAACGGGAGAGAAGGGTCTTTAGAAGCAGTCTGCCCACTTCAAGGGTCAAGTGACATGGGGTTCTGAGGTTGCCTCAAGGCCATCACCACAGATGCCATGTTTAAGCTAAATTTTATTTTCTAATTTACTGGGCTTTTTTTGGTTTTTTGTTTTGCAAAAGACATATATATGCACATCTTTTTGTAATGAAAGAGAGACTCTGTAATGCAAATTAAGTGGCCCTCTTATCTCCAAGTCACTACCCAAAGCCAACCAACATTATCAGTTTCCTATGTAGGCTTCCCAGAAATATCCTATACATTGCTGGAGTTGAGTGTATATAAAATTTCTCTCTTTATACAAATTAAACCCACTTCAGACAGTTGTTACAAAAATTTTTTTTTTACCTTTAGGTGTCTTAGGGACTTTTAGACACATTATAGATCTCATTTATAATATCCTGTTTTATGGATGTACCCACATGTTTAACCTGCTCCCCTGGTGGCAGGTTCCATTATGCCCAATTTTTTGGCTTCTATTTATAATGCTACAATGAACTTCAGGCCTATGTATGGCAATTTCTTTCATCTTTTTCCTTGTTACTGTCTCTAACCCTTTGTATGTCTTTCTCAGCATTTCTTCTAGGTTTTTATGGGCCCTTTATAGGCCTTGTCTGCCTCTGTATCCCCTCATGCTCAAACAGGCAAACAGAGACCATGACGCCAAAGCTACAAGTTTGGGAGCCAGGTGTCCGGGACTGACCCAGAGCTGCTTCCCACTGTGCTATTTCAGGCTCTTAGGACTTGGGACTGTGGAATGTCAGCATTGGAAGACAGGGATCTTAAAGCTCAGCTGACTCAGCTCCTGGTACTTGAATCCCCTCTGACACTAGCATTGGTATCCTTATTGAGTGCATGACCGTAGATCATTGCAAGATTGCCACCAAGTGAGGGCCCAGTGTGTGAATACCTCTTCAGTTAGCTGTTCAGCTCAGAGGTGTTGACTACTAGAAATACTCCGCTCACCCTATGCTTAAAGATCTTTTAGAGCCTATAATACAAAGGCAGATGGCACATTCTACTTGTATGTGAATCCAGGATCCACCATTTTAGCTGACTAGCATTAGGCAAGTTACTTAGTCCTCAGTGCCTCAGTTTTATCATCTGAAAAATGGGCATAACAATAGTACAGCTTCATAAAGCTGTTGTATGGATTAGATTTTAATGCTTGAGAAAGGTTTTTTTAAGTGCCTGGCATATAAAAGTTATATATATATATATATATATATATATATATATATATATATATATATATTTATATATATATTATAGATATAACTCATTGTGCTTGGCTTTATTGCACTTTGCAGATACTGTGTTTTGTTTTGTTTTGTTTTTTTACAAAATGAAGGTTTGTGGCAATCCTGCTTCAAAAAAGTCTACTGGCATAATATTTCCAACAGCATTTGCTCACTTTGTGTTTCTGTCATATTTTGGTAATTTTTGCAACATTTCAAACTTCTTCATTATTTGTTTTGGTGACTTGTGTTGAGTGATTATGACTTGCTGAAAGCTCAGATGAGGATTAGCATTTTTTAGTAATAAAGTGTTTTTAAATTAAGGTATATACGTTATGTTTTTAGACAGCGCATTGCACACTTAATAGACTACAGTATAGTAAAAACATAACTTTACTAGGAAACCCAAAAAGTCATTTACCTTTATTGCAGTATTTGCTTTATTGTGGTTTGAAACCAAATCTGCAATAAATCTGGCATGTGCCTGTATATATAAACATGAATATATTATTTTTTTGAGAGACAGAGTGCATGTGTGCAAGTGGGGGAAGGGCAGAGGGAGACAGAGAATCTCAGGGAGGCTCCATGCCCGGTTTGAGCCTGATACGGGGCTCGATCTCATGAATTCGAGTCATGACCTGAGCTGAAATCAAGAGTCAGTTACTTAACTGACTGAGCCACCCAGGCGCCCCTGAGTATATTATTTAATAATATAGTTATATACTATATTATATATAATTATGTATCCTGTATATAATATATATAAAATAAATATATAATCATATGTGCACATATATAAAAGCTACTATTATTATTATTGTTCTTGTTAATGTAACTTAACAGAGACAAAATCCCTCAATAGTGAAAGGAGATGTCAAGTGTGAGTCTTTCCGGAAATAAAGTGAAGGATCTTTGCCTTGTATGATGCATGTGCTTTACATGGCATCTTACTCAATCCTCACAAACAGTATACATGGGAGATATTATCAATTCCTGTTTTACAGAGGATGAAACTTGGGCTCAGATCATCAGGCAGGTTGCCCAAGGGCCATCCACATGGTGAGTGGCGAGGTGGGTCTGCACCCAAACTTTATTTCAAAGGCACTAATTGCAGTGACCTCAATTCCCACGGAGACAGACACGGCTGAAACCTGCTCTTTCCCCGAGCAGTGGCTGATACCACTACCTTCTGGCCTGAGGAAGGGTGTGGATGAGAGAATGCACTGCATAACTGAGGAGAAGAATCCTGGAGGAGAATGTCTAGCAGGTGTGAGAAGTAGAGTGTGGGGCTGCAAGGTCCTGGGCAACGGGAAGAATACTGGCATCCTGCCTTTGTCCCATTGGCTCCCCTTAAATGCACAGTGTTGCTCCATGTCCAGATGCCTCCAACTCCCAGACCCCTCACCCAAGATGACCAGCTTGCCCCCCGTGAGCTGTTCTCACCACCTCGGGCTATGCAGCAATGCCCTTCCCATCCTTTACTCTCCATTCTCCCATCTGCCAGCAGAGCAACCTCTCCTTTGAAACCTTCTCCTTGCACAATGGAATGACTGGCTTCCTGCCAACGCCAAAATAGTCTGAGCTCTATTTATCTGTTCAATGCTCAGGACAGGAAATGTCACAGTAAAGCTTCAGTTCTCTTAAATTTGGATGAGTCAGGCTAGTGCTCAGCAAATGGCAAAAATACTTGCTTTTTTATGTCTTTTGAAGAATGGAGGTGAGGAGGGAACCTATGGCATAGAGAGGAATGAAAAGCTATGGGTCTTTTAGTCTTTTGGGCATAAGCTTCAGAAAATTCCTGTGTATGGGAGTGTTGACTCAGTTGGTAACCTAGCACTAGGGGCTTCAGCTTATCCATAGGGACTAATAAGCACCTAGGTCTCCTGATAACTAATGGGAAACTTAGATCACTGGAATTCTATCAATTCACCACTAAGGCATTATAACCTTACCTCCACAGTGGGGTATTTCTTGGCCCAAGTACTATTGGCTGGGTCTGGAATTTCTTTACTACACCACTGAGGTCTGAGGGCTGAAAGGAGAACAAATACCCTATAGATAAAGAAAACAATGACATTTGGTTAAGCATGCACACACACAGTGGCATGGAAGCATCAATTCTTAGTGCGGTGATTTCATGGTAGGAGTGTGCAAATGAATAAAAAAACACTGAAGGAGAAAGATGATGCATCATCCAAGGCTAGACTAGTTTTCTCTGAAGTTCAGATAGATGATAGAGTCATGATGCAACCATTTGGAGTTTGCTAAATAAATTATGGAACTTTTACTCAACAAATGTTTAGCTGTCACTGTCCAGCCATGCATTCATTCAACAAGCACCGACTGAACCCCTAATTATGTTGAGCACATGCCATATCCTGGGGATGAAAAAACAAACAAGAAGACATGGTTCCCACCTGTGGAGAACTTACTATTTAGTTTAAAATGTTTATAAAGAGTTTGTTATATGCTAACTAACTTGGATGTAAATCTAAAAAAAAATTTTTAAGGTTTGTAATAACGGGTAAAGTATTATGCTAAAAGGAAAACAAAAACAAAAACCACCACAACAAAGAACAAAACAGGAACAATAACAATGTTTAAAAAAAAATGCCTAGGAAAAAAATACCATATGGAAATATCCAAACTGTTAACAGTAGTTGTACTTGATGATCAGAAGAACTATGGGTCTTCTTTTTTCCTTTATCCTCTCTGGTTTTTTAAAAATACCTTAAAATGTGTTTATATTACTTTTATGACATGAAGGGAAAAAAGTCCTAAAAATGTTTCTAATAAATGCATGTGAGTTAAATGTTTTCATTATTTTTTAAAAATTCAAAGCGAATATGAAACATTTTTGAAGAATTGGCTTTAATAAGCTTTGATGTTTAATAAGAATGGAAAGCTTTCAGGATGTTTAGCCCTTTGAAGCAAGTGATGTGTCTGTGTGACTGGTTTCTCTCCGAACAACTGTGAGCAGAGGTACCTGTGACCCAGTACAGATCATGCAGATGAGGACAATGTCCAAGGGATGCCGAGCCACTAAAGCAGAAGACAACGGGGTCCCTAATGACTGTGTGGAGCATGGCTGCCAAACAACCTGGATGACTTACTTCAGGACTATTATGTGGGAGAGAAATAAACTATTTTTAAAGCCATATATCTGGGGGTGTTTGTTTTCTTTTAACAAAAAAACCTTTCACCCTAACTGGTAATATTTCACTGAAGAGGATGAATGTGATCCTACTTGATTCCATTTGAATTCAACTTTTTCAAAGTCTACCTAAAGAGAGCTCTGCTTTGAAGCATCTATCACATATGAGAGCTTCAATAAATGTAAAGCCTTTCAGATAAGTTCAATGGCTAGTAGAATGACTTTGAGCTAGTTTCATTTTGACCTCTTCTCTTACTTTACACAACATTTGAAGAAAACTCTTTATCGAATAACTCTAAAAAATTCTCTTTACAAAATAATGCCTAAAGAAATTGTAGAAAATAAATAGAACTAAAATCCCGTTATTCTATATCCTGGTAAACTACCATTCATTAATATTTTGGTGCATATCCTTGGGGTAGAGAGCATTAATCACTACCCAATACTCCCTCATCCTCTTCCTTAGGAAAAGGACCCTGATTTACTGGGATGACAACAAGCCCAGCTGTAGGACCGCAATTTTAAATCTCCCTTGCTCCAGTTCTGGCCAATGTGTAATCAGAAGTATCATGTCTGACTTCTTCATGTAAAAGCTCCTGAAAAGGGAAATATGGGTACCTTGCTTCTTTCTCCCTATAGTTGTAGAATGCAGGCATGATGGCTATAGTTCCTGCAGTCATTGGACCATGAAGTGAGCTTGTGGAAGCCAAGTCCGGATAATGGCACAAAAAAGATCAAAGGAGCCTAGATGCCTGGTGACTACAGAGCTACCACACCAGCCCTTAACCTGAATTTACTTCCTTAGCCTGGGCAAGAAAGTCCAGGGCTAGCTAGTTTAAGTTCTATTATTTGGCATATAGAACCAAATTTAATGCTAAATGGTCTGTCTTACATATAGGTATGCATGTGTACATGTACTTTTTAAAGTACATACTGCTTTGCAACCTTTTTAAAATGTAATATTGCAAATATATTTTCTGTCTTTAATGGATATAATATGCTATACAGCATGAGATAATGTGATGTAGTAAAACAACCTCATCTCACTGGATATTCAGGTTATTTCATATTTTCCTTCAATGAACGATACTTTAGTGAACGTATTTGCCATTAAATATCTGCATATACTTAGACTAAATTTCCAGTTAGGAATTGATAGGTTATAGGTCTATTTTAAAACTTTAAAAAAAAATTTAACATAATACTGTTGTCCAAGAAAGTTGAATAAATTTAGTCTGCTACCAGCAATGTATGAGAACGTACGTTTCTTTGACTCATAGTGGCAACAGCTATTGTCATTTTAAAAAAAATCACATTGCTGAAATTGGAAAATGTAACCAACTCACTTTTGCCGGAAGTAACGCGTTGAGAAAATGCCCACTATGACGACAGCAACGCAAATGCTTGGTGCCACAAACACACTCCAATTGGCTTTACCTGAAAAGTTAGCAAACCCTGTGACTAAGTTATCTTCAAGGAACATCTTAAAATACTCGAATGAACCTACCCAGAACTACTGGCTGGCACCTACCCAGAACTACTGGCTAGCTAGATGGGCTCAGGAAAAAGGCCAACTTGTTTTTGTTCTTTCAGCTAGGGAGAAGGGCCCTAAGGGATCCAGTTCTATGGTTCTAAGGAAGGGGCTCCTTCCTCTAACAGGGGCAGAAAGAAAGTGAGTGTGGTGTTCCAAGCACTGGCTGTGAACTGGGAGCCCTGAATTCTAATCCTGACTTTCCACTGTTATGTGATCAATGGACTTCAGATTCCTGATCTACAAAAGGTGAATGATGACATCTGCCCTGCAGGTTGTTGTGAAGATTAGAGATGGTGTATATAAAGCACATGGCAATGCATC